CTGCCTTTGTTAACATTATAAATGAAATTCTTTTTTCTTGTACTACACTTGCTCTTGTTACTTAGTAACGTCCTCGTTGGTGACAAATACGCGTCTAAGTATTTTTTTAAATATGAATTCTAATGTTTTAAATTTGTGGGTTTGATTAGATTTGGTGAAATAATTTCTCCGCAGTGGTTAAGTTTGTGAAATGTTTATGTTTCATGTCTCAGTTCACTTTTGGAGGGTGTGAGAAGGAATACCTGGGGAGGAGAATATCATTAGGGGAATTTGATTGGAGTCAGATTTGACACTCACTTAATCAGACTTAACGAGAGGGTCTTTAGGAGTCACTGTATAAAGACTGTCACTCCGTTGTAGCTGTCATGATATTAGCATTAACGTTAACGAGACGGATTTCACTGACAGCAGAAGAAATTAATAAATCAAAAAACAAATTCAGCGATGCTGTCTTGTTCACTGGAAAGGCACTGCAAGTAAAGTAAAGTCATGAGAAGTAATACTTCAGTATGTGCAGTAATAAAGTCATTTTATTCATATGTAAATCTCGCAGTGTAGAAGCAGCTTTAAACATTTGGAGATAACTTGCACCTCAGACACTAACCCTAACCCTCACCAGGAGAAGTGGAATTTACATCTCAAAATGTTCCGACTGTGAAGTACCGCTGCCATTTGCAAAGGGATTATTGTCGGCCGCAGGATCAAAAATCTTGTTAGGAGGAAAAGGGGAGTAAAGATCAGTACTATATGAAGTACTGTGTAAACCAGGGGCGTCAGAATTACTCTGTTTCACAGGCCATAAAAGGGTCATAACGTAATAAACTATAAATATCAATAAGTACATTTCCCCCCTTTGTTTTCATGCAAATAAGTACAATTATAGAAGATATTTATTATTATTATTATTATTATTATTTATATTTAATGAAATATAATTTTACAAAAAAAAATCCTGAACATGAAGTGTTTGTGTTTTATTTTTATTTTCTAAATTCATGAAGTGGGCCGGATTGAACGCCGTAGCGGGCCAGTTTTGGCCAGTGGGCCGTATGTTTGACACCACAGGTGTAAAATTTAATTTTAATTCAAACTCCATCCATCATAAACTGCCTCTACTGTTGATGGCGGTCACAGCGAAGGACCACCTGACAATGGGCATCGTCGTGACAAGGAGGCAGTTCACACATACGTTCACAGCCGTGGTAAATTCGAGAGGCGTTCTCACGATCTGCATATTTATGTAACGTGAGAGGGAGCAGGAACACCCGGAGAGAACCCACACAGACTCGGAGAACCTGGTGTGAACCCTCGGCAGCAGCAGAAACTCGGGAGAAAAAAATACAAGTCAAGTTTCTGAGAAGTCAGAAAAGTTTTAACGGCGTTATCTTGCCAGCTGCTCAGACAGATAGGTAACAAAGTCTTGACTCTCTGACAGTGTCAATGCCAAGCTGGGACCACGTACACACACACACACACACACACGTAAACACACACACACCTGAATGATGTTGTCCTAATCACCTCTTTCTGATTGGGTGACTGCAGAAACCTAAGTACTGAGAAAAAAGACAAATACTTTATCTAGACCATACGTGTCAAACTCAAACTCAAAATGGCGGCCAGCCAAGCCATTTGAGTGAGAGTTTGACACCCCTGTTCTAGACTCAATAACACTGTAGCTCCACTTCATGTGCAAACTGGAAATAAACATTTGTGTAAACACTGAAAAGAAATGTGTAAATTTCCAGTCTAAAATGTTCTAGTCTGGTTGCTGGGGATGAGTAAGAAACCACCGAGAGTGGACGGAGCAGACGCTGTGAGGAGAAGTGAATCATTTCTGTGCTCGTCTGTGTTGTCGTGTAGAAGCTGAAATCATTTCCTCTTATCTCTGATTGTTGGAGCCAGTCACGAATTCTCTTGTGTTCGGTGGCTAATCTCTCTGTCTCTTCCATGAATCTTTTATGAACACATTGAGTTCATTGTCATCCTGAAAAACCTGAACGTTCACCTGACTTTTACAGTTGGTCTTAACGACCAATCAAGTCTTTTGACATTTCTGCTTTGAAGCTGGAGTAGAAACTGTCACTACTGTTAGTGACAGTTAGACCTCACAACGCTGTTCCTCAGCAGAATACCTCCACAACCACCTAGTACAGTGCTTCTCAAACTGTGGGGCGGGCCCCGCTGGTGGGGAATTTAGACACGACAAGAGGGTCGTAATGTTTGAGGTCACAACTGCACTTTTATTTTTTACTATTTTAACTGTGTTATTTGCTGTTATTGATTCATTCTCAAAATATGATGTTACGTTTTGGTTGTTCAATACATTTGAAATGTAAATTTTTAGGATTTTTGTCGGGGCGACAGGAGCAGCTGGAGGTTGAAAATGGCCAAAAAAGTTTGAGAACTGACCTAGCGTGTTGTTCCGAGTCAGTTTTTAAGGATTTTAAATTCTGTTAAATACCACAGTCTTTTATTATGATTACATAAATACATATTTTATTTAAATCTAATACTTGTTTCTTTTGGGGTGTTAGTGAGGAAACGTCTTAGACTTCAAACTAAATATCAAAAGTAAAGAATGTAAGGTCAAATGTAAAGAAGGTGATGTCGCCAAAATTATTAAAGGGCTAGTCTGAAAGTGATAAACAGCCGATACTCATGAGTTCGGTTTTTGTTTTCCTTAATTCACCTCAGCTGAACAATAAGACGTCATTTAAAACAAGGACGTTCCCTGACATTAGAGGGCGTATTTATACACGCTGGCCAACAGCTAGGATTACGTGCTGTGCCCTTTTCAATTTTGCGAAAATGAGATGTTTAATCTAAAAAATGTTCCCTCTTTTCGTGGCAGTTGTCGCTGTTATGAGAGGGATGCTCCGTTTTTGTTTTTCTGGATTTATGGCGTCGCTGACCTTAAAATTTTTAACTAGAACGACATCTTCACGCGATGCTATTCACCGATGATGGCTTTGTTTACATTCGCAATTTGTACGCCATACATTGGATTGGGCTAAAGTTACAAAAACACACTAATAATATACAAAAATATGTAAAAAAACGTTTGTTTATTCCCTTTGGCAAATATATTAAAAGTGTGAAAATCCAATTCTTTTCAACTGTAATGCTGTTTAATGCAGGAGTGAGCCATCAGTGGACAGGACAGCAGCCAGCTGTACCTGCGTCCTCTGCCACGTCCCTCAGTCTCTGCGTCCTTCTCCTCGGTCCGTCTGGTCTGAGGGACTCCACATGACTCACGGTGTCTCACAGGAGTCCTAATTGATTTTAAATGTCCTAAATTTATATTTCGGGAGTCGGGAAACGTGAAGACCCTGGGGGTGCAGGTTTTCACATTTGTTTTTGTTTAACCTAATGTCTTTGGTATTTTTTTTGTTCACCTGCTGGAAGACTAATAAGACACCCCCCGCCTCCCCCATCTGTAATAGTGGAGTTATGTACAGTTGTAGTCCATGTGGTTTATAAATACCAGGAGGGGGAAACTCTGTCCCATCTGAGGGAGGTTCTCTGATGTGGTTTCATTTTCTGGTGCAGAAAATACCAATTCTATTAATGTAATTATTTCCTGAGGGGGATTTTTGCATAATGAGGTCAATGAAGTCACGGTGGAATCTTATCATCAGAGCCTCCCATCATTTGTGACCAAAGCAGCCGATGGTGGAACGTCACAGAAAACTAATAGGAATTGATAATCACTAATAGGTTAATTCATAGGTCTGAATTATAAACAGTCCAAAAACATAAATATTGTACACATCATAGGCATCATAGGCTTGAATTTTGAACTGTCCAGCATCAACCCTGACCTGTTCCGGTGGTTCGTCCAAAAACATAAATATTGTACACTTCAATATCATCATAGGCTTGAATTTTGAACTGTCCAGCATCAACCCTGACCTGTTCCGGTGGTTCTAGATGAATAAATTAGAAGGAATTACAGCCGACCAATCACAGAAAAGCATTTCTCTCTGAGGTTTTGGACTTGTAGACAAAGATTAGCGGACAACATAGAGTACATGTCATCAATGACCTCATCATCTGCGCTGTTTCAGCCTTGTACCTTGAACCTATGCTAATGCTAATGCTACTGTTGTCATCATCTCTTACTTGATCGGCGGAGCATTTCTGTGAGTTTTCTTTCCACAACTTGTTGAACATTTGTTTATCTTAAAAGGTGCTGTTTTTTTCACCCCCTGGGTACGGCGCTAATACAGCACAGCAAATAATGTGAGCTGAATTCCCCTGGAGTCTGATAATGCCATTACGCATTAAGAGCCCGGCTCATACACACACACACACACACACACACACACAAGTACTGTGTTGATGATTAGCATAACTAATAACATTAGCATACGTAGCATAAACCCTAATGTAAATGCTAATGCTGTGAAGCCACTGTAGCAGAACAAACACATGCTGCACGTAAACACGTAAAATGTCACAGATTGTTGACCTCTCAGTTGCGAGGAGACAGTCGTTTTAACAAATGCTGCGTCTTCGTGCGGTTGGCTCACAGACTGACATGCTGTAAAACGTGTTGATATAGTTAGCCACAGATAGTCTGTGCTACAACATTCTCATTTCTGGGCTCACTTCAAACTGAGTTACTTAATTGAGCGGCCCCCAACCTTTTTTGTTCCGACTGGTTGGCCAGTAGCACCCGTTATTACCAGTAGCAAGGTGCCGAGTGTTGACGGATCATTACATTTTCAAAATAAAACATCTTTTGGGCTTTATTCTGTTAGCATCAGAGTCTGAATGACATATTATTTTGAAATATTGCCAGATTACCTTTTAATAAAAATTAATGGATAAGACTGGAATATCTTTGAATAAAGTGAATTCATAAAAATTAAGTAAACGCACCAAATGACCTGCGGACCGGTAGCAGTCCACGAACCAGGGGTTGGGCACACAATCAGTAGCCTAGTCTAATGCCTTCCTACTTATTTTTCTTCTCTTCATTTTCAATCCTCTAGATGAAGGCCAGACAGTTTGCTACAGTCCCCCGGAGCTGGCGGGCCAGCGGTTGTCGGAGGTGGGCATGCAGCTGCGAGCAGACTGCCACCACGGCCTGGGCTACTGGGACTACCTCTTCTTCATCGCCATCGGTTTTGTCATCTTCTCGGCCGGCACAGTGTCGGCGTGGGTGATGGGAGTGCTCATGGTGCTGTACGAGCGCTACACCAAGCGTAAGAGCGAGCAGCTGGACAGTGACGATGAGGAGGATAGGGGCGGATTGGGTGGAGGAAGAGGAGGAGGAGGAGGAGGAGGGGACCAGGGAAATGGGGATCTGAGTAAGCCTGGCATGCAAGTGTGACATGGTGATGTAAACCAGGGACAAAATATGAAGAGGAGGAGGAGGAGGAAGCAGCGACGACAGGACTCTGAGACCAAAGACTCCGTCTGACTGTCGCTCCTGGAGCCGAGATTTAGATATGGAAATATAATCTTCTTTTTATTAACGCTGTAAGTCTTTTTGAGTGTGTGTATGTGTGTGTATGTAAGAGAGCGAGAGACAGAGAGAGACAGAGAGAGAACGAGACGGAAATAATGATCGACAGATACAGCAATAATGACTATGCCTTCACTTCAGGAGAACAGAATGACCTCTGAGAGTATTGAAAGCAATAACCCACACAGTCTTACACACACACACACACACACACACACACACAAAGAAAACACAATACCCGTCTCAGCACATGGATAGTGTACTTTAAGGACCTGAATTCCCTGAGTGGGTGGATGAACCTGCACACTGAAGTGCTCTTGAGTAACACTGTAAATGATGATTATAGACACACACACACACACACACACACACACACACACACCTGAGACATTAGGGTCTCAGGGAGAGCGATGTCTCTGTTCTGCTACAATAAAATGAAAGAAGTGTCATCGCAAATGTGTGTTTTTCTAAATGCCCCGAGGCAATGCATTTCAAACAGTTAGTCACCGCTGATTGGTTTGAGTTAGTCTTAGAAACACACATTTAAAATCACTAGTTATCCATATTGTAAATCGCCCAGCTGTGACAAACCGCTTATGTTATACAGAATCAGTTCAAAAAAAAAAAAATGTTCCAGTTGAATTTTTTGCTCTAAAAAGCTACGAGAGCGTCCAGTAAGTGCTGTCAAATGGTGGGTTTTAGAATGCTACAGCAGTTTGTTGGCAACATGCAGCTCGCGGACCAGAACTGACCCACGGCCTCTGACCTCCGGCCGTCCAGATGATTTTGAGAATCTCATTTCATTCTATTTTTTACTCGCTTTGTGTTGCTATTTTTATACATTGTCACACCCAAACGTGATAATCAGGGGTACCGTGGCAATGATCCATTTGAACGTAGCTAGTCGGAAAACTATTATTTATTCGCTGCAGATAATGTGTCTTCATTTGTCGACGTGGCAGTGACGGGCATAACGATCAAATACTATTCCATGAAGTGACAGTGGATAAGTATAAAAAATAAAAAAGAGACAAAGTTCCAGATGTCGTGTCTTTCTTCAATTTCTGCCGGTAAATGAGTGCTGTGTTCAACTAAACAGGCCCAGGTATCGCACCATACTTTCTGAGATGGTATTGTTTTCGAGGTGCGCCATGGAATGATCATTTTTGCTATATTGGCAGAAGTAGAGAATGTATTCCCACATGTCAAGAGTAAATGGCTGTCACAAACGTGCAGTGTGTTCTGTCGACGGCGGGTGTGGCGTTCATTAATGAATTGAAAAATGAGTTGGGTTATTAATAAAACAAGTTTGGAATTGACTTAATATGAAAGTTGTTATCTCCCAGGGGGCGCTATTCCTTCCATCCACAGCACCAATTGATTCCTCTCTTGCCTCTGTATTTCATTCACTGATAAAAAGGTTGACTTGTTCATTTAGCACCAACATGCTACCTAGCCTACTTCTGGAAGGCGTGGATAATGGCTAATTTGTCAGAATAAAAGTATGTCAAATCTTTGTTGGCGTAGATAAGACTCCATTACACGGTTAGTTTACACACAAACGTTCATAATAATGAACCAGGTACCAGCTCATTCACAGTGTGCTGTGCCACCCATGCCGATAAGATTGGTTCAGACTGGACCCTTTATTCGGAATAACTCGGTCGGTCTCTGTGTTTTGTTCTAGCCCGCCATGTATTGGCTTGAAAAAATATTCGGCCTGCGGCCAGACTGACCTGCCGACCCCTGTCCTGCGGTAATTCAAAGAAACGATCAGTGCTCTGTGATACACAGCTGGGAAAGGCCAGCAATAACAACCACCATGTCAGAGTGAATAAAACAGGGTGCAAATAATCACCCAAGATGTGATCTTGTTCAACCGTGAGTCCATTTACTCATTAAATTCTGTATCAGGAGTAAAATCTAAATCTGGATAGGAACATTTTATTTTAAGTAAATAAAGTAAAACTAGCAGTGTTTCTAAATGTGTGCTGGTGGCATTTATGTAGTACAAAAGTACGCGTCTCATCTAGACCTGGTGGTCTACCCTGTTCTCACCCACTCTCACCTGTGATTGGCTGCCATACTCTCCCATACACTCTTATTAGATGTCAAGTGGGCCGGACCAGTACAATCATAATAAATAACAAAAAGTCTATGTTTTGTTTATACTGTTACTTATACTACACTTATTTATTAACAATAATAATATTATGTATTTGTATTGAATGAAATATAATTTCACAACATATAGAAATGTCCTCAACATGATGTGTTTGTATATTTTCTTTATTTTCAAATTTCATCAAGCGGGCCGGATTTAACACCCTAGCGGGCATTTTTTGGCCCGCGGCCCATATGTTTGACACCCCTGCTATACAGGATTAAGCTGGAGATGGATTGTTGAGTAAATCTGAGCTACGATTTGTGTGTTTTCTGCAGATACTACATCGCCCTCCCTTGGCTCAGAGAAAGGCAGATAGCGGTAATGTGTTTTTTTTTGTTTGTTTTTTTCCATCTGTAATCCTTCAGTGGTGCAGTGATGTGGTCTAAGGTCAGGAGTGATTAGCTCCAGCTCTTTTCAAGGACCCTTAGAGGAGAAGCTGCAAATAAGTGGATGCGGTTCGAGGGGAATCGGAGTGAAAATATTCAACTCAGCTGGGTGAAATCTCCCTCTGACGTCATCGCCGCGTCGAACCGTCGTTGGTGGTTTAAGTAGCGGCGGTGGTTTCCCATCAAAACCGTGGCCATTGTAATGGAGTCGGCCTCCTGCTCATGTTGATGCTGCCACATGATACCACTGGAGGCCTCACTTGGTTGACCTCATGTTAACGCTGTGCACATACAGGCTTCAGTCTATAGGCCAGCTGTCAGGGTGGAAGTAAGTCCTCTACGTGTTCATCTACGCGTGACTCTGGGTGTGTGTGTTTGTGTGTGTGTGCGCAGAGCATCTCTGTGAGCAGCATGGATGAGTGATTTATGAGCTCACACACACATATTCAAACTCTCTCGCTCCTCTACTCTGAGCTGCTTCAGTCCCACTCATCATGAAAACAGATGAGGGGCTGAAAGGTAATAGACCACGATATTGGACGCAGATGCAAAGAGAATAGAGCGGAGGGGGGGTTAAACTCCTGGTTCGTGGGCCACTTTTGGCACACATGTAGCTTCCATTGAGATGCCAGGTTCATCAGTGGCCCCCAACTCCCAGGTATAGATGGTTGGGTCATGATCTTCCTAACTAATTTAATTACATAGACAAAGATGACTTAGGAGGTTAACCAGGTGATGGTGAATGTTTATTTGTGTATCCTATTAGAGCATGGTGTCAAACTCATTTTGGTTCAGGGACCGCATGCGACCTAATTAAATCAAGTCTGATCAAGTGGGCCAGACGGGTACAATCACACCAAAATAAATTATAAACTACCATAAGGCCATGTTTTTCCCCTTTGTTTTCATGCAGAGAAGTACAAGTTTATTAGATATTTATTATTATTCATTCATATTTAATGAAATAATACTTTAACAAAAAATATCCTGAAGTGTTTGTGTATTTATTTATATTTTCAAAAATCATCAAGTGGGCCGGATTGAACACTCTAATGGGCAGTTTTTGGCCCGCGGGCCGTATATTTGACCCCCCTGTATTAGGGGTTTAATATGGTTATTAAGGGACATATCTACAAATAGAACCAGCCTAAGCCTAACAATGTCATTGGTTAAAAATATTGGTGTTCTACTTGCTAAAAAGTAGAGTACATTTTGTATTCTCAACAAATCAAAAATGTCAAGTTTGGCGGCTGAACTTAATTTCTCTAAGTAGCTGCATCCCTGGTGTTGGACGCTACACTACATGTGCTGCTTCCTCGAGAGAATAGGCTCTATTTTCACCGACACAAACACACACACACACACACACACACACACGCAGAGGCTTAATGGCCAGTACAATCATAAATTCAAGGACAGCTAAAGTCAGAGCTGCAGATCATTAACACTCCTCTTTTAGGTTTCTAACCATGCGTCGCTGCTCCCTCTTATCCATCCTCATCTGACATTGTCATCAGGCCTCGCGCGATGATGACGCGCACGCACCTGCCCCTATAAATTATCAGTTAAATCTTTATGCTGTCATTAACAGATCACACGTTCAAAGCCAAGAGGGCATAGAGGCTCTAAAGGACGCGCGGACCCCTGTGTCAGTCCTCCTCACGTTACGGCGCATCCGTATAATGTGACCTACAGGAGCGCCGCTAAACCTCAAGTGTTAACTCACAGCTGCATACCATACTCGGACATATCCAGAAACGCAAAACTTCCTGTTTACAGCGGGCGGCTACTGTGTCCAGGGGAATGTCTGTTTACTGCCACCGACAACTTAGGAACTAGTTATTAATGTTTGTGGTTAGTGGTGAGATTTAGACCAGAGGTGTCAACCTAATTAGATGTCAAGTGGGCCGGGCCAGTACAATCATAATCGAATTAACTATTAATAATAATAATAAAATAAAATGTACAAAAGTATTGTAGTTTATATGGGTGGAATTATAACTGATATCGACCATGCAATACCAGCTTTTACCATTAGTTTGACCTCCAGTATTGTGTGGATAATGGATAAAAATAGATGATGATTTCTGCCGATAATTGAGTTTTAGAATATTTACTTTTACTATTTGTTTTTTAAGACTTTAAAAAACATTATATATTTATAATTCTTTGTTTAAAGAATACCCAATATATATCTCGCTTGGTCATTCAGGCGAAGCAACGGTCACCTTATTTTTTTTTTTTGTTTGTCTGCAAAATATTCAATACCCCTGCGGCCGATGGGATGCAGTCCACTAGAGCAGGGTTAGAGGAAAATCTGTTGTGTTTCACCCTCTCCAATATTTAGAACCTTTCTTACTCTCGTTACCCCTCATTGTGTACAACCTCCATCTGCCGGCTTTTCACTAGCTCCTTCACTCCTTCCTCCACGTCATCGCACTGCCACCTGATCCACATCACTACACTGGCAGCACTGGCAGCCTTTAATCCCACTGCTCCTGGAGCCTTCAGGTATATAACATTACAGACGGACAGAAATGTTGTACAGTTTACAGTCAGAACGCTGAGGTCCAGAAGCAAAAGCAACACTGCAAGACAAAACTGAGGGATTTCTGTGAAACGTGGATAAGAATCCATGAAACTTATCGATGACACAAAAAACACAGCAGTCTTGAAGGTAAATGTGGACATTTTGTTGTTTTGTTATTTTTAGGTGCAGGTAGTCTTGGTAAAATATCCTGCATGTCAGCACGTCGAGAGGCTAACAGAGTGTTCAGAGGGAAAGGCTGTAACAATGAGTCAGTCACTTAATTATTGATCAACTTCTTTTGGGGACTGGGTGGTTTCAGATGTGGAACCATCTGGAAACCTACCGTTGAATCACTAGAGCCCTGCAAATATTTCAACATAGGGTTGTCCCACAGCTGCATCACTTCAAACAAAACAGAGCTAACGTTAGCTACGACGTTCCTGGTACTGGAAAACCAGACAAGGGGTTACAGGGTTAAAGTCAAACATATAACTGACCCTTTAGATAGATAGCGATAGCAACGTAACCACAAAACGGAGCAGAGACCTCCTGTAATCTACATCTGACTGGTTAGAGTACTAGACTCTGGTTTAACTTTGATTTGAATGCACCGTGGTTCCATTCTGCCAGTGTGTATTTTCCATAGACCTTCTTTCTGTGTGGTTCAGTGCACGAGGTGGAAAAACGTGCTTCTACATTGTCAGCACAATGTGTGGATGGAGAGAAGGAGGGGAGAGAGGTGATTGATTTAGACTCCGTGCCAACACGCTGGCACTGGAGATGGGAATATAAGGGACTGGGAGAAAAAGGAGAATGAGATGGAGATGGAGATGCTGGGTCCGACCAAATATGGTCAATACTAAAGAAACTTTTAACCTTTATTTCAACTCTATTTATTTTCTCAGGGTTTTTGTTTTTGTTGTTGTTGTTTTTTTTATCACTGCAGCAGCTCT